AGGAGAAGGAGGAGAAGGAGGAGAAGGAGGAGAAGGAGGAGAAGGAGGAGAAGGAGGAGAAGGAGGAGAACGAGAGAAGGAGGAGGAGGAGAACGAGAAGGAGGAGTATAATACTAACTCTCCTTCTTACTTTCTACTTTAGGAATCTGTGATAGCTAAGCGTCCATCTCAACTCTCCTGAACCTCTTGAGCCTGAGGGACATGTTAGAAAAGAATGTGAGTTGCCTTCACTGTCGATTGGTCACCCTTCATTCCGCGTGTACCAATCCAGCTTCCCGCCAAGGCGTCTACCCAGCCAGTCGACCGACCCCTCACGACACGGCAACAGCCAATGACGAAGAAGGGGATTTCGCTCGCGAAACCCATTCTCCAATCGCATCACCGTCAGACACACAAGCTTCTACCGCATACGGAGCTGACATCCCAAGGGAGATGTCAGGCTTCGCTGCCTCCGTTCGCCCCTCGCCTTGCCAGCTCCGCCCCCAAGGGACGTTGGTAGTTAAGGCGAGAGCAGACAAAAAACATGACTCTAGCATGTCGGTGGGATTCGAAAGACCTCTTCGAATGGTACCACCTTTTATGGCCAAGGGTTGATAAGTGGATAGCAAAAGTGGAGGCAGTCGAGGCTCCTGACGCTCAGCTCGTCCTGAATGTGTCGACCAGTCGGTCTCTCCGGTACCATCGACGAAATCCCTGCCTCTGTCCCTTTTGGGCCATCAAACCTGTACTTCTAAGCCTCCCTCTCTCTCTCACACACACACTCACACACCACGCATATACTTACTATGTCTGTATGCCTGTCTGTGTGGGCTGGTCTAATTGAATTGCTCCTCTGCCCCTCAGCTCCCAGCTCCACCTCGCTTGCTCTCTCTCTCTCTCTCTCTCTCTCTAGCCGCTTGTCCGGCCATCCAGCGCCGAGGGCTCCAGTCACCGGCCGGGTCTGGCCAACCGCGTCCCTCGAGTCGAGGGCTCAACCGACTGGCCGGCCGAGAGACCGCGTGGGCGCCCCAGCATCAAAAATGCCCTCTTGAGAGCAGCATTTTTTGCTCCCACAGGGCGGCTCCAATGTCTGCCGGTTACCAACCGGGCCTGCCTGCCCCAGAGTCTGTTTCGACGAATGCCCGTTCACCTCGACCGCCCCCCCACCCACCACCACCACCACCATACTATCTCATCCCACCCAGTATATGCCACTC